GGAGATGCTGGGAGGGCTGAGCCCCTCTGCTGGGAGGACAGGCTGAGAGAGTTGGGGGGTTCAGCCTGGAGAAGAGAAGGCTCCGGGGAGACCTTGGAGCCCCTTCCAGTCCCTCAAGGGGCTCCAGGAGAGATGGGGAGGGACTCTTGATGAGGGAGGGGAGCCCTAGGAGGAGGGGGAAGGGTTTGACCCTGAAAGAGGGGAGATGGAGCTGAGATGTGGGGAAGAACTTGTTTGGTGTGAGGGTGGTGAGAGCCTGGCCCAGGTTGCCCCCCGAGAAGCTGTGGCTTCTGCATCCCTGGAGGGGTTCAAGGCCAGGTTGGAGGGTGCTTGGAGCAACCTGGTGTGGTGGGAGGTGTCCCTGGATGGAACTGGCTGATCTTGAAGGTCCCTTCCAACCCAAACCATTCTGTGATCCTGCGTGCATACATCTCTGTTTTCACCTCTTCTACACACTCAGAAATTTGGGGTTTCTGTCTTTTGGCCCATCTATAAAATGCACAAGTTGTTGCATAAAGGTACCATAAATTTGCATACATTTCTGTTTTCACCTCTTCTACACAGTCAGAAATTTGGGGTTTCTCTCTTTTGTCCTATCTATAAAATGCACAAGTTGTTGCATAAAGGTACCATAAATTAAATTCCCTCCACCTGATGTCAGACCATTAGCTAAAGATGCCCAACTTTATAGATAAATGTTCCATTATTTAAAATCTCTCCTGGCTTGTTGAACCCACATAAGCAATGAAACAGTGGATGTGGCCTGTCTTTACTGCTGTGTGTTTCCCCCAGGCTACCTCCTACGCTTTTAATACCCCGGAGGGACAAAAATACACCTTTTTTAGCTACAAAGATAAGGCCTGAGACAAGCCTTAAGCATTCAGGTTGCTGCAGGGTGCATAACAGATCCCTGCTGCTCTCGGGACTGTCTCTGTGGAAGTTGAGCTTGATAAAATCCACAAAGAGCTGGAACTGCTCAAGGACACAATTAAAAAAAAAAAAAAAAAACAAAAAACCCAAAACACAAACACATTTTGAGGAGCCAGTGGGAGGTTTCCAGCGTTCGCCGGTTGCAGGAGCGGGAGTGAGGAATCCATCACCACCATTCCTGATTTTTTTATCACACGTTTTGGGATATTTTGGATGTTTTCCTTTAAAAACAAGCCTTGCTCGTCAGGCGTGCGAGTAAGAGGGAAGGGTGGGTATTAATACATAGAATTATGGTCTATATGCTTGATGGTTGATTACAAGAGATTTCTTCCCCCCCTCCCCCCCTTTTAAAGGAAATATTTAAGAAATACTTTGTCATTTCACAGAATCACAGGATTATATGGGGTTGGAAGGGACCTCTGGAGACCATCCAGTCCAAACCCCTTGCCACCCAGAGCAGGTCCCACAGGAACGTGTCCAGGTGGGGTTGGAATGTCTCCAGAGAAGGAGACTCCACCACCTCTCTGGGCAGCCTCTGCCAGGGCTCTGCCACCCTCAAAGGAAAGAAGTTCCTCCTCATGTCTAGATGGAATTTATGATCGTGTTTGTGCCCATTTCCTCTTGTCCTGTCCCTGGGCACCACTGAAAAAAAAGCCTGGCCCCATCCTCCTGACACCCACCCTTGAAGGATTTAGAGGTGTTGATCAGATCCCCCCTCAGTCTTCTCTTCTCCAGACTAAAAAGACCTAAGTCCCTCAGCCTTTCCTCAGCAGAGAGATGCTCCAGGCCCCTCAGCATCTTTGTAGCCCTCTGCTGTCCCCTCTCCAGCAGTTCCCTGTCCTTCTGGAACTGGGGAGCCCACAACTGGTCCCAGTGCTCCAGCTGGGGCCTCCCCAGGGCAGAGCAGAGGGGCAGGATGACCTCCCTCCACCTGCTGCTCCCACTCTTCCTGAGGCCCCCCAGGATGCCCTTGGCCTTCTTGGCCACCAGGGCCTATTGCTGGCTTCTGGGCATCCTGTTGTCCACCAGGACTCCCAAGTCTTTCTCCTCAGAGCTGCTCTCCAGCAGGTCACCCCCAACCTGTATTTGGCCAGCTCTGGTGTTGGCATCGTTCCCTCTGGACCTCCTCAAGTAGGAAGCTCTGAGTTGGCATCACACCCATTGGTGAGTGAAGTTACTGCTCTTTCCTCTGAGACCTTTACAAGCAAACGGCTGGAAGGCAGGACAGGTGAAAACGGGATTTAATCCATCTTTAAATGTCACATTTCGGCACCAGGGCTGTGACCTGTCCCCAGGGAGGAGGCAGATGCACCTGGGAAGCAGAGGATGCCCATTGGGTGTTTGATTTATTTACCCCATGGTGAACCTTTCATTTTTGGCCCAGTTTATTTGAGGAGAGAAACACTTCCTAAATAAAACCTGTGGTGGAGCTGCCACTTTCTATCCCTTCATTTTGGAGAGCTGGAAGAGGAAATGCCACCGGTGTCTTCTCCTTGTTCTTACCCGTTTCATCCTGAGTGTAGCACGTCGGGATCACAGAACCTTCTAGGTTGGAAGGGACCTTAAAGATCATCTTGTCCAACCGTCAACCCAACTGACAAAAATAGACACCCGCACAACAAACAAGAAGCATCACCATCACTAAACCATCCCTCCCAGCACTACATCAACCCATCTTTTGAACACCTCCAGGGATGGTGCCTCCACCACCTCCCTGGGCAGCCCATTCCAATGGCTGATGACCCTTTCAGTGAAAAAAATTTTCCTAATATCCAGCCTGAACCTCCCCTGGTGTAACTTGAGGCCATAAGTTAATGAAGGTTAATAATGAGTTTGTCTGAAAATACTTTTCCATCTTATATAGGCATTATAGTACATTACAGGGCCCAGGCATTTGTTGGTGGAGGAGCTGCTTTTTGGTTTGTAGGGGCTGAGGAGTTGGGTCTTGTCTGAGCATAAACCCTTTGGCCGCATCTGTTTGAGTACCCAGGACCTCTCCTTGTCCCTTGCCCATCCTCCTCCTCCTCCTCCCATGTCAGGCTGCCCATTTGAAACGGCCCTGCCATCCCCCAGGATGGGAAGAGGCCTTGTTTGAAATGGTGATAACTGGATTGGTTCAAAACCATGACAGGGACTGCTGCACTCATGAGATGGTGGAGTTGGTCAAGTCAGTACTGGGTCCAGTCCTCTTCAGTATATTCATCACTGACCTGGATGAACGGATGAAGTGTACCCTCAGCAAGTTCACTGATGATACAAAACTGACACCCCAGAAGGCTGTGCCACCATCCAGCGAGACCTGGACAGGTTGGAGAGTTGGGTGGAGAGAAACCTAAAGAAGTTCAACAAGGGTAAGTGTAGGGTTCTGCATCTGGGGTGGAATAATGCCATGGACCAGGACAGGTTGGGGGCTGATCTGCTGGAGAGCAGCTCTGAGGAGAAAGACCTGGGAGTCCTGGTAGACAACAGGATGCCCGGGAGCCAGCAATGGGCCCTGGTGGCCAAGAAGGCCAAAGGCATCCTAGTGTGAGCAGCAGGTGGAGGGAGGTCATCCTGCCCCTCTGCTCTGCCCTGCCTCATCTGGAGCACTGGGACCAGTTCTGGGCTCCCCAGTTCCAGAAGGACAGGGAACTGCTGGAGAGGGGACAGCAGAGGGCTACAAAGATGATGAGGGGCCTGGAGCATCTCTCTGATGAGGAAAGGCTGAGGGACTTGGGTCTTTTTAGTCTGGAGAAGAGAAGGCTGAGGGGGGATCTGATCAACACCCATAAATACTTCAAGGGTGGGTGATCTGAGGGTCCTGGTGGACAGCAAAATGACAATGAGCAAGCAGTGTGCTCTTGTGGCCAGGAAGGCCAATGGAATCCTGGGCTGCATAGGGAAGAGTGTGGCTAGTAGGTCAAGGGAAGTCATTCTCCCCCCCTGCTCTGCACTGGTGAGGCCACAACTGGAATACTGCATCCAGTTCTGGGCTCCCCAGTTCAAGAGGGACAAGGAGCTACTGGAAAGAGTCCAG